AATATTATTTCATTAAAGCACAATGATCAGATAAAAAATTGATCAATTAATTTGACTTTAAGCACGATCAATAAAGAATGAAGCGACAAAAATTCGAATATTTGATATGTACGAGAGAAATGAATGAAGATCTGTAAGAACAAGTTTACAGATTCTTATATTAAAAAAAATGAATGAATGTGTATCAGTCAAAGAAAAACAATATCAGAAAACAAAATTGAATACGAACGAGTGTATTATCACCGAAAATGATTTTCATATAAGAAACGTGATAATAACAGTTTGAAGAAAAGCTGAAACAGGTATTGGAGTTATGTACGATGAGAATTTACGCAAATAAAAACTCAGGAAATACCTGTTAAGAGAATGTACTCGTTATCCCCAAAAAAAATATTTCCAAAACCAATTATTGAATTTTCTAAGGAAACTCCCCCTAGAAAATAGATTTAAGTAATGAATCATTTTAAGCTCAAAAATGAAAAAGAAAACATTTTAAGTACGGGTTCTAAACTGGGTGTTTAGAAACCACACTCGGAAAAACACGGGTTCTGAACTGAAATGTTCAGAAGCCATAGTTGGAATAAATCACAACTCCCCCTGCATCGGTGTATCATTGAGATGATATTTTGATCAGCATAAGATGGACACACCTGCAAAACCAAATCAAGTAGATTTTGGTACCCAAACGAACTTGGGTCCTAATATGTTAGTAGTTGGTTGGGGTATGTTGTAATTACCAAACCATTTCTTTCTATAGGATGTATTCTTTTCAGCACTATGAACAGGATGACCAGGATTAAAATATGAATCGTATGAGTAATTGTGATCATACCTGTTCTTACCTTTCCAATTATTCTGATAACTATTATCTCCATGCAACCTGTTGAACCGTTTATTATTTACAAAATTGTTGGTTCTGCATGTTGAGCACAAAAACCTTCTCTTGCTAAGATTAATCAAATCAGTAGTAGACTTCACAATGCAAGGAAGATTGTTAGTACCAACAGGTGTATGAGATAAAGCAAAATCAGACTTACTAGCCCATATACTTTTAAACTTTGAAGAATAATTGGGTGATCGAATGACATACCCTTGATAGTACTGATTAGAACGAGAATAGTTCTTAGAAACATTAGATTTAGAACTACTTGAATAACTGTTCGAGGATGAACAATTATAAAAGCTGGTTTTACACTGAGAAGGAGAACCAGTTGAGCTTTGAGCACACGAAAAGTCTTTGGCTTTTTGTAAAAGCTGGTCTCGTTCTACAGTAACTAAATCATATTTAATTTTCAGTTCAGTTCTCATGTTCAATTCAGTTTCAAGGTCTGTCTTTAGATCAGACAATTTCTTTGAAGTATCAAGGAGTTTACCTTCTAACTCCTTCTGAAGCATTTCAAATCTTTTCTTCTGATTAACCAACTCTCTCTTCTCTTCATCTGAGCTGCTTTTGTCATTCTCCGAAGCGATATCAAGCCACTTCCTTTTCTCAGTAAGATCTTTCGCAATTGTTGTATACTTCTTTGAAGTATTTCTCTTCTCTATAGCAAATTGCTTTTTCTCTTCGTCTAAAGCCTTTTGCTTTAAGTCAATGCTTTCAGACAGTTTCTGYARYTRGCTYTGACARTCTTCGGAGATGTCTGTCTTTTCTTTAGCATGTTTCTCTCTTTCCAAAACAATAAGCTGCTCAAAATCAGAGATTTGCTTTAGAAGCATCTTGGCGTTTAGCTCGAGAGAGTTAATCTTCTTCTCGTAAGATTCTCGTTCAGTTCCAAACTTTCTTTCAACTTCGATTATCCTCTTCTTTTCTATCTCCATCTCTTTCCTTTCATCGTTTAAAATCTTGTCAGTCTTTAAAACCTTTTCCTTTTCTAATCCCAACAATCTCCTAAACTCATTCAGCTCATTCTCAGTCTTGTGGAACTTGTCAATTAAGTCCTTTACATCTAAATTGTTCCTTGGAGAATTCCTCTCAGCAATTAGTTCAATTTGAACTTTTTGGAGTTTGTTGTGCAAATCTTTATAAGATTGATTCCTTGTTTATCTTTCTTTGTCAAATTCTACTGTGATATTATCCAAGGATTTGTTAAGTTTATCTAACTCATATTTGGATTCATCCTTAACTTTTTCTATCTTTGCTTTATATTCTTGATGCAAAGTTTCATTACATTTCACATCAACATAATTCTGAAGTTTAAAGTTCTTTTCCAGCTCAGCATACTTTGCTCGCAATTCTTGATTCTCCTTCATAAGAATATCTGCCATTTTAAAAAAAATTGATCAGTTAAGGATCTATGCAGTGAAATCAGATAAAAGAAATATGAACAGTTAAGCTCAAAAAGAACAGAAAAACACAAACACTGAAAAACTCACACACAAACAAATATACAATGATCCAAAAAAAAACCTAAACACAAATGAACTAAGAAACTAAAAACAGTTCAAAACAATAAACCAAGTCCAAAAACCTGAGTCTAAGTCCAAATCAAAGAATATCAACTCTTTACAATACAGATATTACACTTTAAAAAAAATGATCTATCTGCTCTTGAAAGTGTATCCAAAAATTCACGTGTATGTTACGCTTATCAGTTGCTTCACTTGGGCTGCTGGTTTAGACAGTTTAGACAATTCAACTGAAGAGCTTGCTATTTCAAAGATGTAACTTCAACAGAGTTTGAACAATGATGAACAGAGCTGCGTTGCTGTTGTTGCCGTTTTGCTGCACAGTGCTATCTCCTTTCCAAGATTTGTGTGATAATCAGGATGAAATCTGTCACCTGCACACTCTTCTTCAAATCTTAACCTCAAACTAAAAACAGAAACCAAAACAACATATGAATTGAACCTGTGACGTGCACTTGAACTGTTGTTAAGACAGTCTAATCACAACAAATGAAGCTATGGAGCTGATGTTTATGTGAATCTGCTGTTTTGGAATTGTCAAACACAGTTGCTGTCTGTTAATGCTTGAGATGCTGTCAAGAACTGTAAAACTGAGTTGCTGTTTTCGTTCTTTCTTAGCTTTGCTGTTGACTGCAGATTGCACACCAACACAGCTGTTGCTTGTTGTCTAGTTCACACCAACAGTTGAGAAACCTGTCAAGACCTTCTTGCAGTGTAGCTATGTAACAGCTTCAAATTTCACCTGCTGTCCAATCTGCTGTTTTAATCTGATGAATGCTGCTGTTAAGACTTGCAATTTGTTGCTGCTGTTGTTCTTGTTCACACCAACTTCTAACTGCTGTTTTCTTCCTTCTTTACACCAATACAGAAAAACTAAGACCTGTTGTGTATTTAAGTAGCTGGGCTGCTATTCAAAAACACAAAAAATTGCTGCCAAAATAGTTGCTGTCAAAATGAAGTAATTCTGCTGCACACTGTGTAGCTGTGTTAAGACCTGCAACTCAAACTGTTAACCTGCACACTGTTAATACTTCTGTTAAGAACCTATCACATAAACTGTTTTACAAAAATAGAATTCAAACTCAAACCAGCAATCAAGGTTGCAATGCTGTCAATCCTCATTTAATACTTCTGCTTCTTCTTCAACCTGTACACTACAAGTATCGAAACGAGATCTTGTTGTTGCTGAGGCAAAGTGCTCAACACAGATATTATAAACTACTTGTTTAAAAAGCACAGATCACAGAAGATACTAAACTTGCTCAAAAAGTCTTCAAAATAGTTCAAGATACTAAACAACAGATCTGCTTAATATGAAAACAAATCATTCATTGCAGGAACAATGAATTCACTTACTACAGCTTCAAGCAGATAGCAACCTGGCAATGCTTTAAAATGAATTGAAATGAAACCCAGTTTAACTAACAATACTAGTTGAACTAACAAATCACAAACACAGTTATTCATGCATCATGCTCAAACATACACTGAGTTTGGTTCAACAATATTCCCAATATTCCCAAAAGAGAAAGATGCAGGAGCAGCTCAACAAAATCCCATCACAGTAAACAAAACTAAAAACTTTTGTATGCTATTTACAATAATCGACCTTGAATCATACACAAGTATTTAAAGCACTCAAAGAACAATGGAACTCAAAACAATCAACTGTTTCAAGATCAACAAGACTKCTGTATGTCAAAACAATCAACTGTTTCAAGTATTTATAGCTTCAACTCAGAATCCTAAATCAAATGATATGAATGACATATGATGAACGATTGAGAAAGATGACAGTCAACTGTTAGAAAACCTTGYTGCGATTAAATCCAAATCGTATGAATTGAGCGATTTATCAAAATGAATCAAGAAACAGAGAACAATTTAAAATCTGGATAATATGAATTAAGCGGATTAGAAGTCCGCTCAAAATACTTGGATGTACAAATTCCAAGTCCTAAACCGCTCAAGACTAAAACTTAAACCGATCACACTCCGGTCAAGGCTAAACTTAAACCGATCACACTCCGGTTAAAGCAAAACCTAAACCGCTCACTAATCCGGTCAAGGGTTGTACGGTTAAGACTTAGATAAAATCAGAATCTTACCTGTTTAGACGAATCCGAATACAGATCAAGATTGATCGGTTTACCTCTTCGCTCGATCTCCGCTCGTTCTCCGCTCAAGAGATATGCGGTGAAGATGAATACCGCTTGAATGGTGTGAGGTTTACCTAGACTTGAAATCAATTGAAGAGAGGTATCAACCGGTGAACAATCCGGTCAAGAAGCTTACCCCTTCGATTTCCTCTTCTCCGTTCAATTAACACGCAGTGTTCAATGTTGAAGATGGAGACAAGATGTAGGCGGACTAAGAGTCCGGTCAATGTTGGGCTTAGAATTTTGAAGCCCAAAAAAAATCTAAGTTTTAAACCGATTGGGCTTTGGACGGTTTAACAAAAAAAATCAACAAAAAAATTCAAAAAACAGATCAAAACACTTAAAAACACAAAAACTAGAAAAATTTAACAACAAAATGGATCAAAAACACTGGTTTAAAAAAAAATTCAAGAACACGAAAAAATTTAAAAAAAACACAAAAATTCACCAAAAACTTGAAAACGATTGATCAGATCAAGAATTCGCGTGAATAACAAAGATTCACGATTCTAAAACGCACATTTTGATCATGATCTTAACACGAAAACACAAAAAAAAATTAAACAAAATCGGATCAAACACTGAAGAACACGAAGAACTCAAAAAAAAATCCATAAATTAAAATCTTCAAAACTATTGATCTTTTCTCTGATTTCTTGCAAACTTGCTCTGATACCAATAGTGTGTCCACAATATCTGATCAATTCTTCAATATCTTCATATCAATCATGGCAGATTCAGATTTATCATTAAGAACACCAAGAACACTTCAAAGAAAAAGTCAATGTATTCAATATGGTCAAACTCTCATTACACGTATGAATATTACAATTAAGCTCTTCTTCCACTAATTACAAAGGCTTAACCATATTTATATGGTCAAACATACAAAGACAAAGTCAAAGTCAAACCTATAAGAAAAGTCAAACACGCTGACTTTTTTACAATTATAGACTATATTAAACCTTTCAAGACGAATACAATTAATACTGATTTCTCAGTCCTAACAAGGCCAAACGACTAAATAATCATGGCCATTCCCAATGAAATCTTCCAATCCCTTTATGCATGTTCCACATCAAAGGAACTATGGGATGAGCTGGCAAGCCAATTAGAAGAATGAGCAAAAACAAAGAAGAATCGTAGAGCCCAATGTCTCAACGAATATACCAACTTCAAGGCACTTCCAGATGAACCAATTCAAAAGACATACGATCGTTTCAATACATTGATTAATCAATGTCATTGAGACGATATCTCCAGGACGAAGAAAGAAAATAATGTTTTGTTCCTTAAAAGTCTCGGCGATGAATGGACACAGTTGTCAATGTCCCTTCAAGCAAATCAGGACTTAGACGGCTGGTCACTTCATGATGTATACGGAACTCTTGCTGCACAAGAGAACGATATCATGAAGAAGAAAGTGTCCATCGGTGGACCTCTGGCTCTTGCTACTGAAGAAAAGGATGTTTCAAGGACCTCCACCAGAGACCACAAGAAGAAAGGAAAGAAAGCACTGGTGGTAGAATCAGAATCTGAGGACGAGACATCCGAATCAGATGATGATATCAAAGCCTTTGCTAAATCTCTGGCCTTAATTACGAAACAGTTCCAGAAGAAGTTCATCAAAAGGCCCTATGAACGAAAAAAGAGAAGTACCAGCCATCCTATGAAAAGAAGCCATCAAAATTCTATGAGAGGGAAGACAGAAGAGATGGAAGAGAAGAGAGGAGAAGAAAGAAGACAAAGACGAAAGGAAAAATGACCTCCGCTGCTTTAGGTACGGAAAAATCGGTCATTTTTTCAAAGAGTGTAGAGGACGACTGGTAAAGGATGCTGATTATTACAAGAATAAATATAAATACAATCCAAGAGAGCGAAGCTTGATGGCTGAGAAAGAAAATTGGGTGTCTGATTCTTCATCCGATGAAGAAGATAAAGCACTCATCTGTCTGATGGTCACGTCCAATGCAGAATCCGACTCTGACTCTGATAATCAGGTATGTGAGTCTACTTTCGATGAAACCAACTCTGCTCCATCTGAGCTAGAGTTAAGGGTAATAAAACATTCAAAGGACTTCTTTAAACTAAAAGAAAAATTAAATTTTGAAAAATCTGAAAGACTTAAAGCGGAAAAAGAAGTCAGTTTCTACAAGAGAGGATTGATCTTCTAACCGAAGAAAAAGCCAAACTCGTCAAGGAAAAGACTCGCATCTCTACTTTCTAAAAATCAGAGGAAGAAAAACTTCTGGAATTAAACAAGCGAATAACCAAAGACTTAGAAAACAAAGCTAAAGCCTTAAAAGAATCTGAGGCAAAGAGCCTTAAATCAGTAGCTCTCAAAGATTTCTTTCCAAAAGCAAGGGAGGTTCTTCACCAGAAGCTTCAAACCAATGAACTTTTGATGAAGAAATGCAGGGATGCCCAAAATGTATACGAAAAGTTAAACGGTCAAACGAACACTCAAGGGATTGGATTCAATGAATTGGACTCCTTCATCGAAACAAAGAAATCCACCCTTGAATCCACTTTCAAACTTGGATGCATTCAAAAACCCGAATTTTTCCCGAAACCAAAAGCAAATTTTAAAAGAGTTAAAGTCGATGGAAAAACTGTCGTTTTAAGACAGGATTTTGAAAACATGGTGTACGAGAGCAATATATGTAAGAATTCTGATGAAAGGAACGATGCCTCCAAATCAGAGGCCGATGGAAACCCTATGGTTAAATCAGAGTCTCTGGTTGTCAATCCCACTTCATCAGCAAGTACTATTGATGAAAAGGAGAATCGTAGTAAGGAAACGTCAACTGATGAATCGATGAACCATCCAAGTAGCATTGGAGGTTCGTCCAAGTCAGAAACGATGGAACCTCCAACAGATCACTCTGAAGCATCAACCTCTGAACCCACACCTCCCACAAACATCCATGATAATTTTGATTTCGAGAAATCAGTGAGAGACTTTCTTGATTCTAAATCTGAAGAAGAGATAGTCTGTGAATCACTAAAGATCATTGAGCATAAGAAGCCTCAAAACTTCAAACCCTCAATGAAATATGATGTTCCACCATCGATGAAATCTTCAGACAAAGGAAAGGGAAAGCTGAGCAATATCAAATCTGCTAACTATAACTCACAAGGCCCTGTACATCTTCTAAGTTCATTAAGTTTACTCATGAGCAAAAACAAAAGTGACCTGCCTCTGAGAAATCTAACCACCACTTTTCCTCTCATTCAGCTGAAGAAAAGCAGTCCTTCCTCAGGAGTAAAGAAGTAAAGACCAAGACCTCCACAAATAAAAAATCTGAACTAGATAGGAAGTTTGTAAAAACAACCGATGCTAGGACATGATTTTCATCTCCTGTATTTACTTCTTCATTTTTATCAAATAAAAAGAAAGTTAGACATTCATATCCAAAGAATCATAATTRTCAATGTTTAGCTCTTTTACAAAACCTGAGGAACCACATGTTGACACATCGCTGCATATTCTCCAAACACGTTTATCACTATAAAGTTAAATCCAATGAAAACGTGAGAAAGCCCAAGTCTAAGGGCAAGGGAAATGCAAACAAACCCAAGCCTGCAAAGGCCAAGGGTGATGAAAAGAGAGAGGTATCCCCCACTAACAAACGTGGACCCATTATGAAATGGGTACCTAAAACCCCTTAATTTGTCTTGCAGGACCAGCATGTGCAACCATGGTATATGGATTCAGATTGCTCCAGGCACATGACTGGTGACAAAAGTCAACTTTCCTCCTTTATCGAGAAATATGGAGGCTCTGTCACTTTTGGAGAAAACAGTAAGGGTACCATCAAGGGATATAATACTCTTATAAAAGGAAACATCTCCATCAGCAAAGTGGCTTATGTTGAAGGCTTAAGGCACAACTTACCAAGCATATGCCAGTTCTGCAACAAGGGTCTTGAAGTCAGATTCCGCAAGGGTTTCTGCATCATAGAAACACAGCCCGACCAAACCATCATCAAGGCAAAGAGAGAAGGAAATCTCTATCTTCTAGACTTTCAATCCTCTGTGGGACAAGACACACTCTGCCTTGTATCCCATAAGAGCGATGAAAATTGGCTATGGCATCAAAAGTTCTCACATCCCAACTTTGATGTTCTAAGGAAATTAGCCAAACAGAAGCTGGTCAACGGGATACCGGACCTCAATTTCGAAAAAGACCACCTGTGTTCAGCCTACGAGATGGGAAAGCTAAAGCGGGCCTCTCACAAAACTAAGTCAGAAACCTCCTGCACCAAGCCATTGGACATGATTCACATTGATCTATGTGGGCCCATATCTACACAAAGCCTCACTGGAAAGAAGTACATATTAGTACTAGTTGATGAATACTCCAGATACACCTGGSTTGAGTTTGTAAAGAAGAAATCAGATGTTCTTGACCTACTCATTGGGGTGATGAAAAGGCTCCAAGTCCTTCTACAACGAAAACTCATAAAAGTTAGAAGCAACAATGGAACTGAATTCAAAAATGCCAGTATCGATGAATACCTCATTAGTGAAGGCATTTCACAAAACTTTTCAGCAGCCAGAACTCCACAACAAAATTGAGTGGTGGAGCGAAGGAACAGAACCCTCGTGGAAGCAACAAGGACCATGCTTACTTCTTCGGAGTTACCCATCACCTTATGGGCTGAAGCTATTTCTACTGCCTGCTTCACCCAGAATCGGTCTATCATCAACAAGAGGCACCAGAAAATACCCTATGAGCTCATCAATCAAAGAAGACCAAATGTCAAGTATTTCCATGTCTTTGGGTGCAAATGTTTTGTACTCAACGATAGCGAATATCTTGGCAAGTTCGACAAGAAAGCTGATGAAGGGATCTTTCTGGGATATTCTCAAACCGCAAAGGCCTACAGAGTCTACATCAAAAGGACAAAGATTATTATAGAAAGCATTAACGTATCCTTTGATGACTCCACACCAATGACTTCTGGACACAACAGTTCAGTACTCGGACTTCAACAGAGAGCCTCTGATTCATCACTTGGCAAACCCAATGAATTAGAGTTAGCTCAATTATTTGAAAACATCTTCGAAGAAGAAGTAATCTCTACACATGCACCTACTGCAAAATCCACTTCTAGAACCGATGAAGAACATGAAGTCTCCAAT